TTCTAGGCTATGGGGCTTATTTGGTGTCCAAATCATGTTTGGCTTGGTTTCTGACCTTTTTGGGTCCCAAGGAGTGGTTTTCCACCGTCAAATATTTTTTTCCCAATTTTGACCGTTCTGTCCCACTGTGCTGTGCCTGCGGCGCAGCCTGCGCGGAATTCGACAATGGCACCCCTCCTCGCGCGCGACGGCCTGGGCGCAACATTCACAATCCCTCCCCGCTACAGCGCACAAAGGACTCAGCTTTTAAATACTATCTTTGGAATGAACCCGTACTACACCGTAGAAGAAAACCAAACGAGTATCATCTGCTTTCATTAACGTTCGTTGAATGAGATTTTTATATTTTTACTCAAATTTGTAATTTTTACAAAACTGTTATGAACTGTCCGACAAAACTGTAGTTAAAACTGAAACGTCCGAAATAAGTACTAGATTTTTTGCAGTCAAAGTACAGTTGAATGACAGTTAAGTGTACTTAAACTGCATTTTAACTGCAGTTCATTGCAAATAACTGCACTTCAACTGCACTTGAGCTGCAGTCGTATATCTGCAGTTAAACTGTGGTCAATGCATACTTCAAACCAGCACATTTATGAACACTTTAAGATCAATTGAGTTACACTTTAACTTCCCTCCTTATTCACTGCAAGGTGAAGTATGACTTCAGTTCTTGGGTGCAATTCAGACCGCAGATTCTCCCACGCGGGCGTGTTTGAAGGACTAGCTGGGTCATTTTGGGGTGCAGGTGGGCACCCCGCACTGTTAAGTACTCTAGAACGAAGGCCCACGCGCCTCCAAGGTCACACAATTAGGCGCACATCACGTATTTTGCCTAGATTCGGAATAAGCAGCGGAGCGCCTGGGAGGTAGGACATCCCGTCGACCTCTGCAGTGTTGTTGGTGGCCTGCCCAGGAAGGGTAAAATTGAAGAACAGAGAAAATTTTTCATTGTGTCTCTTTTGTTTTTTATTAATATTCAGATTAATTTTGTACACCCCCTACTTTCTACGCAGCAATTGTTGGCGGCTCCTGGCACGCAAATTTAAACTATGAACTACGAATGTTGGCAGTTCACATTGAACATCATTTAACTCAATCAAGTTCACTTTACACAAAACTTCAGGGAAACGTACACCATATAATCAGAGGGTCAGCTAAATTTTGTCAAGTAAGTGCTGTCAAGGCTGTCACCATCCCAGGGACAAGACTCAGATAATCTATTTTTACTCCAATTTAGCAAACTAACTATTGTTATTAAAAATGTGAGCAGTAAAGATGTATTGCTTTGTTTCAGGAACAGAAATTGAGTGCATACGAGTAAGCTCTGACCCAGAACCAGCATTGATTCACTCACTTTGTGATATTAAACCTACTTCTCAAGATTTCTCTCAGAGAGAATTTGTTGCTGTTTTGATTGAATCTAAAGTGTTTATGGGAATGATTACTGATGTACACCAAAGTGAAAGGGAGGTGGATCTAGCTCTCTTACTGCCATCCCTTCTGGTCCTCTGATTACACTGTGGCAAAAAGGTATAGAAAATTCGGTTAATTTTTTTGCCAGGATTCTTCGTAGCCCTCTTATCAATATTCTCCGTAGGCTCTTACAGTATTCTCAATAGGGCCGTACAGTATTCTCCGTAGGACGGCACAGTCTTCTCCGTAGGACCTGGCAGACTGTATAGCCCTACGGAGAACGCTGTGAGGTCCTACGGATAGTACTGTGCGGTCCTACGGAAAATACTGTAAGAGCCTACGGAGAATACTGACAAGAGGGTTACGGAGAATTGCCACAAGCTTTTTACAGAATTTTCCGTAGCTTTTTACCACAGTGTACATGGTGTACGTTGCACCTTTCCCTGAAGTTTTGTGTAAGGTGAACTTGATTGAGTTAAATGATGTTCAATGTGAACTGCCAACATTCGTAGTTCATAGTTTAAATTTGCGTGCCAGGGGCCGCCAACAATTGCTGCGTAGAAAATAGGGGGTGTACAAAATTAATCTGAATATTAATAAAAAACAAAAGAGACACAATGAAAAATTTTCTCTGTTCTTCAATTTTACCCTTCCTGGGCAGGCCACCAACAACACTGCAGAGGTCGACGGGATGTCCTACCTCCCAGGCGCTCCGCTGCTTATTCCGAATCTAGGCAAAATACGTGATGTGCGCCTAATTGCGTGACCTTGGAGGCGCGTGGGCCTTCGTTCTAGAGTACTTTACAGTGCGGGGTGCCCACCTGCACCCCAAAATGACCCAGCTAGTCCTTCAAACACGCGGAGGGACCCGTGCCGCCCAGGTGGCGTCCGTGGGAACAAGCGGTTTTGGGCGGTATTTCGCGTTTTGGTCAAAAACGGACCCTTAGGAAGCATATACTGGGACTTCTGCATTCAGATTCTTAAAGAGGGCACTTTTCTGAAGATTTTGAGCTGTCTAGGAGCCCTGTAAGTGTTGCAGCTGGAAATTGGCAAAAATGTCAATTTTTTTCGCATTTTGGCCATTTGACCAACTGTGGGTGACCCTAGGTCAATTCCGACGGCAGATTTGGATTCCTTGTTCAATTTTGAGTGGGAGTACTAAGTTTAAACGGAGTCTTGCGATTAGAAAGGAAGTTATAGCCGTTTTCGTAAAAACCTACACTAATTTAAGAAAAAATGGTCAAAATGAAAAAATGCGTTTTTAGCCAAACCATGCATCGTAGAGGTCTAATTTTTTGGTGGACGACTTATCTATAGGTTGGTAACATTTGACCAAAATTTGGAGCAAATCGGAGGGGGTCGATGTAACGGGATGTAAAAGTAGGATGGAATGACCCTCTGGCGACCTAACCTTATACTAAACGTTACTTTTTGGCCCGTCCCGTTTATTTTTTGTAAAAAAATGACGGAGGGACGGGCATATAGTATGATCCCTGCTGTGCGTCCGTTCGTTCGTCCGTCCGTCCGTCCGTCCGAGGACTTCCCGTGGTCTGATCTTGACCAAATTTGGTATGCAGCCTCCTTGGGTGACCCTAAGAACCGCCCGGTGGCAGCAAATCCGATCCGAGCCCCGGGGGCGCTGCTGCAGGTGCATCATGGTCTACATGGGGTCGAGGAGGATCTCGGCAACGGATGCAGCTAGGAGGGCATGTAGGGGTATTTTTGGAATCGGGGCGACGAGAGAAAACCAATGGTGCCAGTTTCGAGCGAATCGGAGAACTTCGGACCCGTGTTCAAATCCCAGCGGAGTATTTTTTGAACATTCTTTTTATTCGAGTTTTTGCATTGTTTTTGATGTTTTCGAGGGTGCTGATGACGAAAACGACATTTATTTTAACCCCAGACTCAGGTTTAAGGGGAGGTTCTACTGAAAAAATAGCACTTTTCAAATTGAGCCCCAGTGTTAACATTTGTTGCATATGTGTAGTACTACATTGTTTTAAGTCAAACATGAAATTTAGAGCCCAATACCTTCCTCCAAATCCAGTCGAAGAGGTTTTTTCAGCCTATTTTAGCAATATCTTAAAAAGTTCTCCTACGCAAAGTATTTCAACGTAAACTGATGTTCTGGACATTTTTCACTTCTTTGGCTCATATGCAATAAAGCGTGGCATCACCAAGACATGGGACCCAACAAATTTATTTTGGCATTGCTTATCAGAAAAAAAGACACTAAAATATCAGGATTTTGACCATTTTCTTGAAATTTTAGTGACATGCTGTGTTAAAAACACAGCTTCTGATTTTGCAATGGTTCCAGTATCTTACTAATGCCACGGATTATCAATTATGAACCAAAAAAGTGAAAAATGCCCAGAACATCAGTTTACGTTGAAAAACTTTGCGTAGGAGAATTTTTCAAGATACGACTGGAAATAGCAGAAAATTCCTCTTAGACTGGATTTGGGGCTTGGTATTCCTCTGCAAACTTCAAATTTTACTATTTACTATAAAATACTTTTAATTTACAATGAACATAAATAGTGGTACTCACTTTGAAGAAAGTAAGATTTTCAGTAGAACCTCCCCTTAATTCCCGTCAGGGTCAAACATAGGCGAAAATCGTACGTTTCTTAATGTACGGGACGGGCCAAAGTTGCCGATGTATATCGCTACTTTTCCTGTTATTCCTTTATGCTCTGAGAGTTTTTTTGCGGAGGTATCATCTCTGGTCGCAAAGTGACCAGTGAGGTTTACATTCAACATCAGATTGCAAAACACCATTCAGCCAACACAATTTTTATCTAGGCCAGATTATTAAAATAAGTGATCCATGTTTAGTTGCTGAGCGAAGCGAAGCACCCTGTTTGGGATTTTGAATAGCTCATTTGTCCGACACCCCCCCCCCCTGATACCTTTAGTTTACAAGAGGTATCTTCCTCTGTTTATTTTTACTATATTCATATGCGTATGCATAGTCGAAGCTCCATAGTCCAAGCTCCATAGTCCAAGCTCTATAGTCCAAGCTCCATAGTCCAAGCTCCATAGTCTAAGCTCCATAGTCCATCCATACTCTATAGTCCAAGCTCAATAGTCCAAGCTCCATAGTCGTACGCCAAGCTTCATAGGCCATTTAGTTTGAGAATAAGATCTGTCGCGAGTAGGGTATGATCTTTCGCGAGTAGAGGAAGATCTGTCACGAGCCCGTTAGGTTAGGTTAGGATTGGTTGGACCATTTAGTTTGAGAATAAAATCTGTCGAGAGTAAAGTAAGATCTGTCACGAGTAGAGTAAGATCTGTCACGAGCCCGTTAGGTTAGGTTAGGATTGGTTGGAACATTTAGTTTTAGATTATTAAATAGCCTTCCGTCGATTCAAGGAGAAACCAACCATTGCCGAATCACAATCCTTCGCGCAAAAGCATACTTCCTGGCTATCACCCCCCAAAAAGAAAAGAGGGTCATTTTCAAAATAAACACATCCAAATTTACTACTGATGAAAATGCATTTCCATCTCCAGCAGAATCCAGCTCAGCATCGAGGCCGAAGGCCTTCCCCTGGCTAGTAACTTCACCCTGCATTCGTTTTAACGCGAACCGTTATTCGTTCTGGGTCACAACGTCGGCAATGATGCGCATGCAGCCCCTCACTTTGGGACCTTTCAGTGGCTTCGGAAACAAATACAGGGTGTACACTCTGTACCGGCCATACGGCAGCGAGGGAAAATGTCGCAGAGGACTGATCCTGGCCGGCGCGTTCCCTCCACGGTAAGTTCCCTAGTAGAAAGCATGAAATAAAAACAAGCATTAATTTAATGTCGCCCCTCAGCATTTACACGGAGATTCCAAACGCTATGAGATAGCACATATGGTGCAATGCAGCTGAGATATCGCACCATACGTGCAATGCCATAGCCATATTGCACCTTGTGCAATACGTCCCGAAAATGCCCTACGCTTATGCATGGGAAGGCCAATTGGTGCAATGAAAACGTTTTCAAATGCATTGCACCAATTGGCGTTATACTCAAAGCGTTTGGATTCACATTAACCCCACCGCACTGTTAAACAATTCCGTACTTTTGTACGAAAAATGTACAGACGAATATAGCACGGAAGTACGGACACAAGTACGGAACGTAAGCACATGCCCCATTAGAACTCATAATCGGGTACGGAAAAATAGTACAGAAGTTTCGCAATAGGACAGGTATGGACGGTCCAGGCAAATTATTGAACAGGCATGTTCCGTACTTTCAGTTTCTGTTCTCAGGCAGGTTTTTTTCCTGAAGGTCTGGTGCGTCATATGTATTTCTTACGTCAGCAATGGGGCACTTGGTGGGTGCCTGCGTGGCTTCAGCTATGACTCTGATAATGTCCGTTACGATTTCTTCATAGACGAAGCAGAGGTCGCCTAGAGCCATCATAAGGAAATGATCCCTCCAGCCAGACACCGTGTCCCACCGAGCAATGTCCAATGCCATCTGCAAAGGAGATATCACAGGGATGTCTTCGAGAATCGGCAACTCGATCAGCAACCACCCCTATTTCAGACAAACTAGTATTAACAATTCTTAACGGTGCTCGTTTAACTAAGTTCAGCTTTGCATTTTCTGGGTAACAAAAATTACTTTCTACCAAATACAAGGCAGGTGTACGCCAGACCGTGTCTTGTAATAGGCTTTGTGATGCTGCGCCAGTTTCGACAATCCACGCCCGGCGTATACGCACCATGGCCTGCGGCGCTACACTGAGAATGAAAAAGTCATGATCAATACACTTCGATTTTCACTGGGTTTGTGTGAAGATAACTCAAAAGCCCGCCTAACAGAGGAAGATAATCAGTTTAAAAGGAGAATTCCAAATCGCCAAAGTAGGAGGTCAAACCGTTTGCCTGTGGTCGCTTCACGAAATTTGAGTACCATCAAAAAAAGGCAAAAGCTGCTTCTTTCCCTCGTATTTCCATGTACTTATCGTACCTTACCGTCAAGTTCAGTCCCATGACTAAAATTTTATCATGTTATATGGTCATTGGACTTTACTTTGGCGTTTCGGGAGTGCTCGTATTGCTCGCCGTTTTCTTACAGTTGAACATCAAAGGTTTTCACTACCTGCGAGGTAAATCCGGACAATAAGGGTTATTTTCTTCAATTTCCCGCATAATGTTAAGGTAGTGGGTTCAAAATTGTGGACATGCATCCCCACCGTTAAGTAGGATAAAGAAAGAACGAAAAATAGCATTGCAGCTATGTTTAAGAGCTTTACTCGAGACAGTGTTGTCAATTTAGGGGTTTTGATAGAAATTATTCCTTATAATATGCTTTGAGTAATAATCAAACACTTCAGTTCGCAGCAAATGTCCTTGGACGCCTTCTAAGAGCATGCCTCACATCAAAACAAGCGAAAGGAAGCTCGAGCAGTGTCAAATTTTAAGGTCGTCCGGCATTGCCCCATAGGTCGTCCGGAATTACCCCAGCCTGAGGCAATTCCGGACACGTGCAGGGCTTTTGTTAGGCGCCTATATCTCCCTAATTGTTGCTGAGATTTGGCTTTCATGTGTACCATTTTGAAGGTTAAGGTCCATACTTTACGCTCCTGTCATAACATTTAACCCAAAAAGCATATTCAAGCTCAAAGACCAAAAAGAAAAAAAGCGTCTGGAATTACCCCACTCTCCCTTACACACTAAATGTTTATGTCCTTTTATTGTTCTTAGCTCTGGCCGTTTTTGAGCACACGGAAGTTATGTATAAATTTGTTCATGAATTAGGGACAATGTTTCTATATTGTGCTTAAGTATTTACAAAATTGTACCTGAATTATGAACAAATTTGTGCATAACTTCAGTATGCACATACACCGCCACACATTGGGCCACGGAGCAGGTATGTTTGCCACGTGTCCCTGTGGTGAAATTCTGTCCAAGGAAAAAATGTCATGAAATTTTGCGCCATAGTTTTGGACATGAAGTCTATAAGCATCCAGTGTGTATGGGCCCTCAAAGTTGCTCCATGTCACTATTTTCACCAAAACTTGGGGCATGTCCGATGCATTTCAGCGCCCTTTGAAGTTGCTCGTGGACGATTTTGCTCCTTCTTGGCTTAAATGTTAGGTCAACACCCCTTCAAAATTTCAACCCTCACTGAAAACGTACACTGTTAAAAATAATCGTAAATTTACGACATTTTGTAAAACAATTAGGTCGTTTTTAAACGACATATTTTGTTACGACTCAAGTCGTAAATATACGACTTGAGTAGTAAATTTACGACACATTTGTCGCTAATTTTGATAGTTTTAAACGAATTAAGTCGTAAATTTACAACTTAATCGTAAGTTTACGAACGATCGTAATTTATCTATGGAATATGTTGAGCAGTTATGACTTAAGTCGTACATTTACGAACCTTTTCGTAAATTTGTGTAATGAATCGTAAATGAACGACACAAATCGTAAATAAGCGAGCAAAATTGCAACTTTTCATCTACTTTTCGGGAATTTTAGATTTCAAAATATGTAATCGCGATTACGACATTGTCGTAGAGAAATGATTTTTTAGTCGTTCAGTTACGACGAAGTGGTTTCAGAACGATTTCTGTCGCTATCAAAATTAGCGACGTTTTTGTCGTTAATTTACGACAAAATTTCTGACAGTGTAATGGTCGGACACATGGCCAAATTATGGCTTGACAAAAAGTCACGCCAAAAATTGGCGCGACACGAAATTCACGCCGAAAACCGGCGTGACATGTGCGTCACGCCCTCATTTGGCGTTATTGACAACGCGTTTTCTGAGACAAGTCACGTCAAAAAGCGGCATGACAAGAAATTGGCGTGAATTTTTGAGTCACGCCGATTTTTGGCGTGACTTTTTTATCATGCCGTTGAATGGCGTGACACTTTATTCACGCCCCTGCAGCGGCACGAAGTCACGCCGGTAGATTTTCAGTGCTTTTGGTCAAGTTTTATAGAAACTGAAAGCAATCGAAGTTTTGGTCCATTTCAAACATTTTTTTCGGGACTGATTGACAGAGAAAGTCGGCATTTTCTATAATTGAACCTGCGAGGGTGTGGGATTTCGTGCAAGTGTCTTGTCGGTAGTTCGTATGCATACAAGGAACCTACACACTCAATGTCATGGGACTTTATTTGTCCCACGGTTTATGCAATTTTAAGCACATCCGACGCTGATACAATTTTGTTCCCGTCTGGTGACACATTTTGTCCGGCGCCAGCTGCAACTTGTACTTTCACTAGACAATTTGTCCCGCCTGGCGGACACAAAATTGCATCACCACCGGATGTGCTTAAAATTGCATAAACTGTGGGACAAAAAAAGGCCCATGACATTTAGTGTGTAGGGTCCGCTCACACTCTCAGAGCCACATTGACTTTTTGTTCATAGCAGCAGCAACATTTCCTAAGTAGCATATGAATATTTTTACGCAACAATAATACTTAGAATTTTGTTCATATGCCGCGAATAAAAAGTCCATGGTATATGTACAATTCCATAGACAATATTCTTAGTATATTACCAACAAATTTGTTGATAAAATTGTTGATAAATTTGTTGATAAAAATTTACCAGAATAATCACTAACAAAACTTATGTCGTTACTAAATGACACTTTTGATGCTAATTTTTTCAGCGTCAACACACTCAATGTCATGGGACTTTTTTTGTCCCACGGGTTATGCAATTTTAAGCACATCCGGTGGTGATGCAATTTTGTGTCCGCCAGGCGGGACAAATTGTCTAGTGAAAGTACAAGTTGCAGCTGGCGCCGGACAAAATGTGTCACCAGACGGGAACAAAATTGTATCAGCGTCGGATGTGCTTAAAATTGCATAAACCGTGGGACAAATAAAGTCCCATGACATTGAGTGTGAAGATTTATTTTGGAACGGATAGCTTGTTGGGCCACTTGTTAGTCAGCGACAAGTATTGCAAGTCCATAAAAATATATGTAATGTCTGCGACAAATATTGATCATGTACATAGAATTTTTGGCTGAGCGATAGCGAAGCCTGTTACTCAGGTGGGGTTGAAAATTTTTTCCTGTCTGCGTGCGTGCGTGCGTGTGTGTGTGTGTGTGTGTCCGCGCTACTGCTCCTGAACGGCTCGGCCGATCTCGGTGAGATTTTGCACACTTTTTGGGTATGTCCTTGGCTCAGCACACGCGAAATTTCACAATCCTAGCTCAACTGGTTCGGTTTTTATAGCCGAAAAACACCTAAAAAACGGCGAAAAATCGAGTTTTCTGCAGGCAGATCACCTCTGTCTTAAGGAAAGGGGGGTCTGGGGGGCGGAGCCCCCCAGCCTCGACAAGTTAAAAAGTCAGGCCAATGCAGCCCTAGGCACGAAATCAAATGCTGTTTTGACCTTCAATCACGCAAATTGGTATGCGGATGCCTGGAAAAGAAACCTAGCCTGCCGAAGGCAGGCAAGCGCCGCAGGCCAAGGTAGGTGTAACGCCAGGCGTGGATTGTCATAACTGGCGCAGCATCGCGAAGCCTGTTACGACAAGACACGGTCTGGCGTACACCTACCTTGTAACTTCTTAAGGCTAGGGGGCTCCGCCCTCCAGACCCCCCTTTCTCCAAGCCAGAGGTGATCTATCTGCAGAAAGCTATATTTTTCGCCGTTTTTTAGGTGTTTTTCGGCTATAAAAACTGAATCAGTTGAGCTAGGATGGTGAAATTTCGCGTGTGCCGAGCCAAGGACATACCCAAGAAGTGTGCAAAGTGTCACCGAGATCGGCCGAGCCGTTCAGGAGGAGTAGTGCGGACAGACAGACAGGCAGACACACAGACAGACAGACAAAACTTTTCAACCCCACTGAAGTAACAGGCTTCGCTATCGCTCAGCCTATTAGTCACTACACACTTAATGTCATGGGACTTTTATTGTCCCACGGTTTATGCAATTTTAAGCACATCCGGTGGTGATGCAATTTTGTGTCCGCCAGGCGGGACAAATTGTCTAGTGAAAGTACAAGTTGCAGCTGGCGCCGGACAAAATGTGTCACCAGACGGGAACAAAATTGTATCAGCGTCGGATTGCTTAAAATTGCATAAACCGTGGGACAAATAAAGTCCCATGACATTGACTGTGTACTGACTCCGTTTCTTTCTTACTACTGACAAAATCTCTTAGTGGCCACTAACAAATTAGTCCCAGAAGGCCTCCATACTTCTTTTAAATAACGAGTGGCAGATTTGTTAGTAAGGTTAACATACAAAATGTCAATATGTTACACATAGATTTTTATCAGTAAGATACCTAAAAAATTGTTCACAAATTAGAAATAATTTTTTGGCTGAGCGATAGCGAAGCCTGTTACTCCAGTGGGGTTGAAAAGTTTTGTCTGTCTGTCTGTCGGTCTGTCTGTGTGTCTGTGTGTCTGTGTGTCCGCACTACTCCTCCTGAACGGCTCGGCCGATCTCGGTGAGATTTTGCACACTTCTTGGGTATGTCCT